TAGAAATCAAGAGAGTATCATTAAAGGACAGAATATTTTTTTTTAGTGAATATATTGAAATTACTGTTGATATGAATAACATTTAATTCTTTAATTAATAATTAAATGTTTCTGTAAAAAATTCATTGAAGTAGATTCGATAATACATGCTTCATTTATAATTTCGTCTTTCGACTATTAAATATAGTGACAATAAATTTTGATACCAACACTCACGAACGAATCCAGATTCATCGAGATAACGTAAGCACTGGTAAGCTCGATCGGTCTTGAACTTCGTCTCATAATCATTAACAAAGATTGTTTATTATGTTTGTTCAATCCAAACCACTCTATTTTAAATATGCTATTAACCAGTTGACAACTCTATATTTAATAATTCATAGCCTATTATTTATTTAGTTTATATGCAATATACAATATTACAAATTTAAGTAACAGAGAAACATGTGTTCTAAATACACATACCTTCAGCTTAACTTCGTTGCCATACCAGCAATAAAAAAAGATTTGTGATACCATGCAGCCCATGTACATTATTAATTGCATGTATTGTGTTCTTAACGCGGTTGACTTGGTAAATTGATAAAGATTGACACATACTACCAATGTACTCACAATAAACTGTATGACGATAGTCAATTTAAATTTTTCATTCACCAAACGAGCAAATCTGAAATTCAAATCAAATTTTAAAAGAAAAAGCAAAGTCATAAGTAAATTAATTAATTAATTAAAGGTTAAATATAAAATTATAAATTTAATATTTTCAAAACAGTAAAAAGAGAGATTATTTTATTTCTTCTCTAAATACACTTAACAATACACTGAAAACAATATAATGATACTTTGTAATGTATCAGGACAGGTGCAATTTATTCATGTAACATTAGTTATAAAATCATATTAACGTGAAACCAACTTGAATACATGATTGTGTTGCAGGATGGATTCGCGAAGAATATTCCGATCGTGTGCAACTTTTCGTAAACGGCATTCAATTATTTCTATCTGACAGCAAACGTGCACCAGTAGTCCACATATCAGACCATCGCAGGCAACATGGAGAACAGACCCAGCTGTCAGACTTATCAATTGATGCGCGTATACAATACGAAATAGTGACGATGAGGAATAGTCGAATGGCAACCATGCCCTGAATGTCAATCTTCCTTTTCTGAATTCTGTCAGCAACGACGTCACGGCAATGCACAGACACGTTGTTTCAACCCACATCGCGTAATAAAACGTGTTCGTCCTGTAAGATGACTATAGAGATTTTTCCGTTCCATTTTTTAATTTTTATTTGGACATTAAATTCATTATTTGCAATATTTCTTTCTAATCATATATTAGTATTAACGAAAAACGAGCATAATGTAGCATCCTTTAATTTCAATAAATTATTACATTATTAGTGCATGTTATATAAGATCATATTAGGAAATTATAACAAAACATTATCATTCATCAAAAAATTTTAATAATTATAATCGTTATAATTATTATTACGTGTATGGCGTGTATTTAAATACTTTAATTATTTAAATATTTTAAAATTTTAATTCTTTAAAATTTAATTTAAAAAGTTAATTAAAATGTATATATGTAACGTTTATAACGTTAATTAAATTTTTATGGTATTTTTATTAATAGAAATCTGCATAATCAATTCTTAAAATTTAAACGCGACTTGTACGTGCATGTTTTTATATGTAATTGGATTTTTTTATGAATTGTACAACATTTACTAAATTACTCACTGTACATGCTTATCGAATTTCTGCTGAATTTCGATTTCGTCGGATTGGACCGGTTTACACGGTTTTCTTACGAGAATATCGATTAGCATCGCAATGTTACTGCGATTCAACAATAGAGTGAACATCTTACAGCAGGAAACAATCATTGCGAGTAGCATGTAGAAATTATCAGTAAAATCATTGGCATTGTCCACGGTCAATATGAGATCCATCAATTGCGACAGCATAAACGTATGTATAAGTAGCATTATCAAAATAGTATATATATGATAAACTAACCGTTTGTACGATGTCGCCCAGGAATCCGGTATCCAGCACCCGCAAATCATTAATATTTTAAACGTAAGACCTAATATCCGCATTTTTAATTTCTAATTTTTTTCTGTCAAAGATATCAATGCCTCTTTTCCAAATAAAACATGTGTTCGTAAACCATTTTTTTTTTTAGAGATAATAGTATTCTCTATTTCCTTATTTTAACGAGATTTAAATGAGAAATCTTCAGATAAACATATATCTTCCAATATAATTACTTAGAAATGTACAAGAAGTGTACGTATACAATAATGAATTCACAGCTGAATTATAACTCGATCGATGTTTCCTATTTACTAGGTCGGATAATATTATAATAAAAATGTTTTCTTAGAAAAATATTGTGGTGCACGGTGAGCACTTGAGGGAGACTGATGTTTATAGACCGTCTATAGCCTTACGATCTTCCCAATAATAATACGCTTTGCTTAACTCCCCCCTTCATATGCGACAATTTTTATTATTCAGATTGCTATGTCCTTCATATAATAATATTTTCATACATTCCACCTCCTCTGCAGTTTTTTCTAGTTGTAAAATATAGACTCAACATTATATCTCGACATAATACTTCCTGAGAAATTAAATGTTACAGAAATTAAATTAAATGTTAGAAAGCAGAGCTACAAAACAAAATGCTGAAATGTTTGAAAGCCCTAAATAATCCAATGTATTTTGTAATGCAGCATTGGAAGACATTTAATTTACTGTTGATTCGGAGCGTAAGTGGTATAATCAATTTTGTTACTTTGTATTAATTTTTGCGACGGCAATTTTTAATCATTCATTCTATAATCAGACATTTTATAACTTGGAATTACATGCATTCTGTGTACATAAATTAATGAATAGATAATATAATATACGAATGTAAAATGTAAGTAATTAAATGTAAGAAATTATTGCATATTATTTACTAAAAATATATATGATATAAAAAATAATACAATTTAATGCAATTTAATGCAAAATAATGCAATTGTTCCTTTTTTATTTAATATCTACTATTAATATGTCAAAATTGATTATATGAAAATTAATTATATGTTATAATTAATTACCAATATAAAACAAAATAAATTTATTTTGTAATTTTAATTTATTTTGAATTTATTTAATTTATAATTTTATATTCATATTAATGAAAAATCTGTAATGTGAAGAATATGTATAACATTATTATGCACATTATTGTTTTCCTAATTGGCTTTATCATTTTGCGTTTGCTGAAGTATGTTGTAGGTCGAATACGATGTCTTAAGCAACTGCAACATGCAAAGTTATTTTACTTCAGATTTACTACATTCAAATTTACTTATGAATTTAATATTTACTTTAGAGATAGTCACTTTTTAATTATCGTGATATAGAAATAAATTGTTTATACTAACACCCACAAACGAATCTAGATTCATAGGTATAATATAGGCACTACTAAATTCAATTGGCATTCTACCGCGTAGTGCGATTATCAATAAGTCCCTTTTTATATCTCGTCCTAACGTAAGCCATTCTATTTCAAATAGATCATTAATTAATTGTAGGCTCTATAAAAGTAAAATATTTATTTATTAAGACAAATACAACAATTATAAACTTAATTATAATAGAATAAAAAAATTTAATTTATCCATTTTTGTGCATGAAAAATTTGTGTGTCTTAATATAAATAAAATACATATATTTGTCAGTGTCCTTTGTCTAGTTAATACAGAAAAATAAAACGTTACTAAATTAAAAATAGCAGATCGGAAGAGCACACG